TTTTTTTTTTTTTTTTTTTCCTTTGGAGATAGAGTCTTCCTGTGTAGCTCAAGCTGCCCTTGAATTCACTATGTGAATCAGCCCAGGCTGGTCTTGAACTTTTGGGAAATCTCCTGCCTCAGCCTCCTGAGTGCTGGGATTATAGGTGAGTACAACCATATTTAGCTTTCTAGGAACAGTTTTTATATTTTATTTTCACAGAAAACCAGTGAGATTTGTTTCAGCCTCAAAAAGCAGGTTTATGTAAAATTAAATGAAAGCAGACAGTGAGCTGCCTTTTTCTCCTACTCAGAAACTGGGTTAAAGTATGGCCCATAGAATAGATTGCTATACCTGCGTGGTAAGGCCAGCAGGACTATTTACTTTTCCTGCTCTGGAAGAGAGGGTGACTGATGAGGTGAGGGATCACAATGTTGACTCACACACAGCATGAAGTCAGCTGGAACCACAGCCTTGCTGCTTTTTTTACACATTCTAGGGAGGGGATGAGTCATCTGTCTCCTGCCTCGTACTCAGTACTTAGGTGGAGTCTTGTTTTCTTCGTGGGTTTTAAACCAAGTATATCCTTGTTAAACTTTATCTCCGTTAAATTTGCTCCGTTAAGGCCTGCCTTTTTAGTTGCTGAGATCTTTTCATATTCTTAGTTCTGAGAGAAAAACATAGTGCCACTGGGCAAGGCAGCGCATGCCTGTAACATCAGCACTCTGGAGGCTATGGCGTGAGGACTGAAAGTTTGAATACAGCTGGGCAAAGTTAACCACTTAGTGAGATTCTGTCTCAAAATTTAAAAAATATAAAGAAGGACTGGGGATGTAGTTCAGTTAAAACTCAGGGAGTTTATGGTCTAATGTGAGGCAAGTGAACAAACAATTTCAATATAGTGAATATATTTCAATATATTTCAAAATGTATTTCAGTACAGTGAATCAATGATGGGCTGAGTCTCAACAGAGAAGAGAGGTATGAATGTGCTGGGACCATCGAAGTCAGAGGAGCAGCGTCTGCAAAGGTTCAAAGGCACAGAACAGAACGGAGCACGGAGCGGGGGGAGCTGCAGGTATCTGGTATCATCAGACAGCATACAATGTGAGGTGGGCAGGAGTAGGAGATGGGCTGGAGGGGAAGTAGAGATGAAATGCAAGGATCGCCCTAGCCACCCTCGTGCAGGAAAGTGGACATTCTTTGGCAGTCGAGGGAGAGCCACTGAGGGGGGCAAAGTCAGAGCAAGGAGATGGGGTAAAAGACATAGACATAGTCCAGGGGAGGAATGGTGAGGGCCCAAAGAAGGCGCCATGGTTTGAATGTCCCCTTGGAACCGCATGTTGAAATTTAGTTGCCACTGTAACAGTACTAAGGGGTGGGCTGGACACAGTGGTGCTGCCTGTAATCTCAGGTACTTAGGAGGCTGAGGCCGGAGGATTGTGAGTTCAAGGCTAGCCTGGGCAGCAACTTAGAAAAGTACCTCAAAATGAAAAAAATTAAAATGGAATAGGGCTGGCGATGTAGCTCAAGAGCAGAGCCCTTGCAGAGCATGCATGATGCCCCGGATTTAATCCCTAAACCCCCACACCCCCAAAAGGTTGGGTTTTAAGAGGTGATCAGGCTATGAGGGCTCTGTGCTTCAAAACAGATTCATGCTGTTACTGCTGATGAGGGCAGTTACTGTGAGAGTGGTCTTATTATGAGTTTGACCCACTCCTGCCCACCTCCCTCTGCCTTGTGCACATCCCTTGCCCCTGCACCAGGCTGTGACACAGAAATCTTAATCAGACATGGCCCCTGAGTCTCAGATTTCCAGCCTCCATAACTGTAAGGTGAATAAGCTTAGATTGCTGATAATTACCTGGTTTATGGTATTCTAACAGCAGAACATGGACTAAAAATGGACAGGAAGAAGGAAGGCGTAAGAAGCACTGAGGTGATGCAGTTGGTGGCAATGGGGCACAGCTGACTTGGAAGAGGAGTCCCTTCTGGGACTTGGTCCTCCACAGGATACATTCATCATCCAACAGAAGTTGAGTAAACTTCAATGTAGCAATCAAATAATTACTAACAATGTTCACTGGGCCAGGTGGAGGACAGAGTGTCCCAGCAGCTCCCAGCCTGACCCTGTCTCATTCATTGTTCTCAGTGATTCATTAACCAGGCTTTTTTGGTCTTAGACATTCTCCAGTTATGAATCCTTCTAACTGCACCATTCTGTCCATACAGTTTTGTCTTCAAGAACAACAGGATAGACAGGTGTGGTGGCACATGCCTGTAATCCCAGCATTTTGGGAGGCTGAGGCAGGAGGATCACAAGTTCCAGCCAAGTCTGAGCAATTTAGTAATTCCCTATCTCAAAATAAAAAATAAAAAAGGGGTGGGGATGTAGCTCAGTGCAAAGACTGTGGATTCAATCTTCAGTAGGGAAAGAAACAAAAAGCAAAACAGAACAAAAACCCCATCAGGAGAGACTTCATCAGATGCCTTGTTAGTACTTATCTGTTTTCTCTGTAACTCTTGACTGACAAGTTTACCCAGAGAGGCAGTGCTTTATCTTGGAGTGGCTCAGCAGGGAACATTTAAGATATAAATTTTATATTTATCTTCTTGTTGACTTTAAAAAATTATCATAAACATAACAGATGTGAAAGATCAACACTTGCAAAATTTACTTGAAATAAAAAAGTTGTACAGGCATGCAATAATCTAGGAATTAATAACATGGAGCATTTATGTAACACATCAAAGTCTTTCAAAGACATCTGGCCTAAGGCAGAGCAGGGACTCAGCTGCAATGAGACAGTTTCCCACCATCACCATTCACCCTCTACACTTGCAGACACACCTGTGCAGAAGTCCTGGCCAAAGCAGGGACAGACTAACACAACAGGCAAACACCGGCCAGTGAGGTCTTTAGTCTTCGTGTCATCTTTATTTTCAATGCCTTAAACCCAAGTCCCATTATACTGCAATAAGAAGCCTGCATGACCATGGTCTGCAGGTACCATCTCCTACCCTTCCCGCCAACTTCTTCCTGAGGTTGGTACTGCACTAAAAATGAATTTCACTTGTTTAACAAAGAGTAAGATACATGGTTCAGAGACCCGATTTTAAGAACACACAAAAAAACAGGGTCTAGTACCAGGATGCCAGTATTCTGGGAGGCTGAGGCAGGAAGACCGCCAAGTTTGAGCCCAGCCTCAACTTAGTGACAACTTAGTGACTTAGAAAAACCCTACTTCAAGGGCTGAGGAGGTAGCTCAGCACAAAACTCCTGGATTCAATCCCTGGTACTAGGGCACACACACACACACACACACACACACACACACACACACACAATGGTGGCAACCTATGGCATGAGTGCTGCAGCAGGTTGTTTGTATCACTGAAAGCTCTACAAGGTTCACCATTGTGGGCCTAGGCATTCTGGATGACTGTCCGAGGAACGTTCCAGGCAGAGTATATCATCCACTGGACTCAAAGTTGTATACCTTGATCCACCGTCTTCCTTCAGGGCCTTGGAGAGGGATGATTATCACTAAGAACCAGGGACTAAAGGCACCACCCCCCAGGAAGGGGAAGATGAGGAGCAGGCTCAGGAAGGCTCCTTGGGGACTTCTGGACCTGCACTGCCTGTGGACTCAGCAGAATTCCATAAACAGTAACCAAGCACATATTAGATACTTTGGGAGATACGGAGATTCAGAATTGAAAAAGAATGACCTGCTGTTAAAAAGCTTTAAGGTTAATGAGAGGAGAAAGGCCGAGTACAAAGCAATAATTATGAGATGGCAACTATAAATTGGTGGTCATTTCTCTTCTTTTGGAGGTGGTAGGTGGGATCTCATTATGTTGCTCAGGTTGGCTTCAAACTTGTGATCTTCTTACCTTAACTTCCCAAGTAGCCAGGATTACATTACAGGTGTATGTGCCACCTGGCCCAGTTGTTAGTCAT